CCCCCGGTCCTCGCCGCCCCGCCCGGTCCTCACCGCCCGGTTGTCCCCGCAGGTGCCGACGTGCTGGATCCGGCCGCTGGAGGTGGGGCAGAGCCACGTGCTGGGCAAGGAGGTGACAGTGACGCTGCTTGACTCCAACCACTGCCCCGGCTCTGTCATGTTCCTCTTTGAGGGTGCCTTCGGCACCATCCTCTACACAGGTACGGGGCAGGCCCCCGCGGCCCCTGCCGCGGCCCCCGCTCTGCCCTGACGGCCCTGTCCTTGCAGGGGACTTCCGCTACACGAGCACCATGCAGGGTGAGCCGGCGCTGAGGGGCCGCCACATTGACCGCCTCTACCTGGACAACACCCACTGCCACCCGCACCGGCCCCTGCCCTCGCGGCAGCATGCCACGCGCCAGGCCGCCCACGTCATCCGCATGCACCCACGACACCAAGTCGTCATCGGTGAGTGCCACTTCACGCTGCAGTGCCCTCAGCACCCTCCCCTCGGCAGGGGCTTGTGCCTCCTTGCCCCATCCCTGGTGTGCTGCTCATGGCTCTCCTTGCAGGTGTGTACAGCCTGGGGAAGGAGGCACTGCTGGTGGACCTGGCAATGGAGTTCAGCACCTGGGTTGTGGTGAGCCCCTGGCGCCTGGAGCAGATGCGGCTGCTGGAGCTGCCTGATGTGTTCACCACCGAGGAGGGGGCTGGCTGGATCCGTGCTGTGGATATCACTGAGATCCGCTGGGATACCCTTGTCAGCTGGAACACGCTGCACCCTACCATTGCCATCCTCCCTACCGGCAGGCCCGTGAAGGTCACCCACCCCAACATCTACCCCGTTCTGTACTCGGATCACTCATCCTTTTCGGAGCTGTGCGAGTTTGTGAAGTGGCTGAAACCTTGCTCGGTCATTCCAATTGTGAGGGGCGGCATATGCCAGGCTTACTTTCAGAAATACCTAAGTTCTGCCCCCCCGGCACTTCCTGACCTCAAAATCCCAAAGCCTGTGCAAGAGTCTGTACAGCAGCAAAGCAAAAGGAAGGCGCAGGAACCCAGGCGTCTCTTGAAAAGAGCTGCCCGGCATTCTGTGCCCCGAGGAGTTGTTTATGAGTCCCCAGAGAAACATACTGAAAAATCTGAAGAGTTCATGGGTGTTAAGGTTCTTCAGCAGAACTGCTGTGAGTCAGCTTTCTGCTCAGAAGGTTGCACTTGTTGTCACCCAGGCAAGGAGAAAGGAAAGGAAGAGCTGAGTGGAGAACAGCCAGGAGTAGCAAGAGCAGCTAGCGCTGTTAGCCAGGCACCTGTTTCTGATGAGCACTTTCCAACTGGATTTGCAGGGCAGTATTTACTCACTCCCTTAAATATCCTAAAGCAGAATTCCTCACAGAAATTTGACAAGCTGGTAGAAGATTTCTTTAGGAGGGGAGAAGCGTCCTAAAAAACTGTGTGACACTTGCCAGTGCCAATGCAGTTGATAGCAGTGATTCTAGAGGTCTTACTGCTGCATCCCATTCTCTGCTCAAGTTTCCCATCCGAAGAGAGGAGCTCAGCTATGGGGCTCTACTTTCTTTAACTCTTATAAGAGGACAAGGAGGAAACTAGAACCAGTTTGTAGGTGTTAGATTTTTTAAAATTTATTTATTTTTATATCTATCTACATCTGTTGGGTCTCTAACACTACACTCGGGCAGTGTGGTCCCACTGCGTGTGTGCCTTATATCTACCTTTTGCAGTGACTTGTCTTTTGTGACAAAAGGTACTGCCAGGTTGATTCAAGTTGAGCTGCAGAGGGTGGGAGCTGCCTGCAGCTGAAGTAATTAATGGGGATGGATGTGATGAAAGAAGCAAGAAGGGGGAATCTGAGAGCCCCAAAGATTCTTCTTTCTATATGCCTCATTGACAATGACTGGTTCATTCCAAGGTGCATTACAAATAATATGTATTAAGGTACATTTAAAAAATGGTGCTTAAAGAAATCTAGAAAATGAAGTGCTTCCAAGTCTATTAATCTATTTTCTATCTATTAATCTACTAATACCTCCAGACAGCACTGCTTTTGTATCCAGCCAACTGCAGCTGGACAGAGTTCTGCTCTCCTGAAAGCACCATCCTAATGTTAACTGTCAATGCGTGTTTTCAGGTTACTGGCTGGAAAAAGTAGGAATTGTCTGGGTTCTTGAGTTCTGGACTTTCCGGAATGGGTTACTAGATCCTCTGCAGTCTCTGCACTCAAGTCTGCAAGTCTGAATTCTGCTTGACTGCAAAACATTTCTGGTAACTGCCAGCGTTCTGCTAGGCCCACTGCCTGTTCTTATCACTCAGTGGCAAATGGGATGGAAGATAATGAACCATCTGCTTAGGGGTGTAAAGTGCTCAGTCTTAGCAGCATTGTTTGGAAGGAGTACTGTGGCTGAACAGCAAAATTGGCTCTGTTAGTTAGAGGTCAGGCACTTTCCTGCTCCAGATCAGCTGCAGAGAGCCACAGCCTCGCTGGCGCAATCAGGAAGCATCAGTGGTGCGACTAGCCAGTGGGTACCCACTGTGGAGCCTGGAAACACTGTAGTTATCCATGCCAAACTGCGCTAAAAACATTACAAATTGGCTCCCCATGGGGTCAAGGCAGCAACACTAGAGTGGAAATGGTCACTAGGCACTTTCCTGGAGTAACAAACCAGCTTGTTATTCAGCTTTTTCTAGCTTCCTTTTTGTTACTTTCAACACAAAATGTGTCATGTGATCTTGATCACGATCAGAGTCTTTTCTGAATGTAGTGTCCTGCAAGGTCTCTCTAAGACCCGTCAGCTAGATGGGTTGAATTCCCTGAATCGAGCCAGAAAGGGAAGCGTTTGCTCTTTGAGTAAAGCTAGGGCTTGTGGAAAGCAAAGATGCCTGTAGGTGCAGCAGCCACACCTGCTAAAAACAAGGCTGTCCTGGACAGTAATCATGATGACAGCCAGAGTGGGTACGTTTGGAAAGCTGGCTGGCAAACAGGAGTCCTAACTCCAACCCTGTGCCTTCCCAGGCACCGCAACATTTATCACTATAATGTAAGCAGCGCCTCTCACTGGGACTGCCTGTTGATTGTGCCTGCCAGCTGCTAAGGGGACATCAGAAGCGATGGAGCGGTGTTCTGTGAAATACACTTCAAAAGGGGTAGCAAGGGCAGCTGAAGCTTCTTCCTGTGGTCTGTATGGTCCTGTTTCTTGGGGGTTTCTGTGTGGATTATTTGCTACTCAAAACTCAACTGCAGAGCCCCATTGGGTCAGTATGAGTGGAGACACCTGCACCTTTGTAACACCCGAGACTGCCAGGGAAATAACTGTGCTATACTTGTAGTGTTTTGTCTGCTGCTGGCTGCCTTGGAGGTGCAGGCTGTTATTTTAATATTGTTGAAATTTAAGTGACTCATTTGACAGGCAGGTGAGTGAAGCACTGCCTGAACTCCCAGATTCCACTTCTTGCGTGCAGCCTCTCCATTGCTCAGAAGGAATGCTTGCCTTCTGAGTCACTGCTCCATTTAGGTATGTTGCGAATTACCTTGGAGATCTGATGCGTTTCACTGCTGATGTTCTGTGGCATCCAGCCTTTCCTCCTTTATCCTTATCAACCACTCTTATCAATCATTTATTCAAGTAAATGAAGTAGAGAACCTCCTGGTGAACCTCTGGGCAAAATGGAGTTGTAAATGTTAATTCTTTACAGAGGCAACTCTGATCACACAAAAAGGAGTGAAAATTGCAGAGACTTCAGAAGCTGGGGATCTGCACCCCATTTCTGAACACTTAGTTAAAACTGCAGAGAAATGCTGGCTTCTGTTACTAGAGCTTAAAAGGTAATTCCTGCCACTTCAGAAATAAATTATCCAAATTACATAGAGCCAAGGAAACCTAAAATCTCTCCATGGTTTTAAAAGGAAATAGAAGCAGGAGAGACTTGACCAACAGTCTGCATGCTGGAGATCCTTGCCTCAGCACAGCAGGTGCATGAGGCATTTTAGAGTGCCATGTTTCCTTCCTCTCTTAGGTGTTAAAATACTACTTTTGTGTGTTATCCTAAAATCCTGGAAAACAAAACATGGCCTTGTGAGGAAGAGTGGCAGTATAGTGTTTCTGAGAATCCTTCAGCTTCCCCCGAAGTCTCCTGGCAGTAAATAGCTGGCCTTTTACAGGCCTTGTTCTCTCCCTCATGCTTGCCTCCAAAATGTCCCTCTTTTCCTACCGCCAGCCTAGCTCACAGGGGAGTGTCGGTGCAGCGGAGAGCTGGAGTGTTATCTACACCAGGGTCTGAACGTGCTGCTTCCAGCTCAGCTGCACAGGGCTCTGTCAACACTGCTACCACAGGTGTGTTTTGCTCACAAGAGTGACAATGAGAAGCTGTAGCCAAGTATTAGCTTGACTGTGGGGTATCTAAGGGCCACATGCTTGGAAACTTACAGTTATCCTGGCAGGAAAAAAAAAACGGTGCTCAGACCAAAGTCCTCCCAAATCTATATACGCAGAGCATGCTTGAGTGGCTTATCTCTGTTCCGCAGTTGGGAACCGAGCCCCAGTGGGATGAAACAACTCACCCAAGGCCTTACAGAGCCTACAGAGGAGCTAGGAGCGAGCTGAGTTCCTTTTGGCAAGTTTTCAGCACTGTTTTAACAAGCTTTGATCAAATGCTGGCATGTCATGAGGGCAGGGCAGGCTTATGGTTCTGGGAGCAGGGCTGCCTGCTGAGTTCCTTCCACGCAGTTGCCTGTGAAAGTCCAGTCGCTATACTATGAAACAGTTTATTTGGCTCTAGCTTCTCTAAAACAGAGTAGAAAATCATGAAGGGGTACCCTGCCTATGCTATGGAGAGAACGAAATGTACTCTTTAAGCTTAGGTTGCTACCAAGAGAGGGAGGTAAAACTTAACTAGCTCATGCGCTCCACAGCAAACAAGTGTATAATGTAACTTCGTAGGGAGCACCCTAGAGCACTCCGCTCAGTAGTGTTTCTAACTCTGCTTCCTCTGCTACAAGGCGAAAGCACTTACGACAACTTCTCTCTCTTCTGCTGCAGAGCTGCTGTCCGTTTCTGCAGCACAGGTTCTTCTTACTGTTGTTTTCTAGATAAAAAGAAGTGTGTCATGGGGAAATCTTTTCTTCTTCACCAAGAAAACTAATTCAATGAGTTTACATAATTTCCTATATGGTGCGTTGTAGCTTTGGGCTTATTCCAAATTAACCTCAAGCTTAAAATCTCTGGCTTTGTGCTCTTTTATGGACCCCTCTGAAAAAGTAGTAGGATGAGGAGAAAAGGTAGAGTCACCCTGATAATCATGTGAGGTGCTGCCTTCAAATGAGCTGCTGTCTGGCTGTGGGTGTTCTGTGTGCATTCGCGATTCCTTCTGCTAAATTTGGGCTCTTTTGCTAAGGTCGCTACAGTGCCTAAATTTTCTTTGCTGTCACTTTGCGCTTGGCCAAAGGCCAGCCTCAGCACAAGCGGCCGTGAGTGCGCACTAAATTGTTTGGGACAGACCTTACTTGACAGAAAGCCTCTTGGCCCTGGCTCAGGGAGTCTGGGACTTCGTGAGCAGGTGCTCGGGAAGATGAGAATATTTTCATTTTGTGTGCATGCTCCACTCAGGACAGACGTGCAGCATGGAGCACCACGTGGGGCTGATCCTGTGCTTGCTTTCCAGGCATTGCTACCGGTAAACGATGGAGTGTAGGGTTTGGGCCATCTGGGAAGCAGTGCTCCTCACCCCACAGGCAGGAGCTGCAGAACTGCATGGGGGAGGTGGAGGGAGAGCCTGGGGAGGCGAGTTCCCCCCTTCTCATAGGGGTGAGTTCCGCAGTAAGCCCAGATCACAGACCATGTCAGGCTCCCTCGGGTTTCAAGGGGCTCTGAGCCAAGCCCTTGCTGAAGTGTGTTCCATACTTTCTGGCTTTGGAGTTCACTGTAAGCCTGAAGAAAATAAGGCCAAGAGAAATGCAACCCCCACATCCTCCATGCAGGACCGAGACCTTCCTTTAGCAGATAGTACAGAGGGGTGAGCGTCTGAATGGTATTTTGCTAGAGGAAGAAAGTAGAAAATGTGATTTCTTGAATCTTAAGCATGCGCACACGTTACTTGTAGGATTTTATATAAAAGAGCAACACTGTCCCATTCACTCTTCTCTGCTGGCAGCTGGTTGTCTCACTGTCCATTGCAGCGTTATTTAGTGCCCCAAATCATGGCTGCAGTTAGACTTGCCCAGCAATCTCTCATGGAAAAAAGTTGCACTTAAGTTTCTGCAAAGCAGAAAACCTCCTCGATACACCCCGAGCTTTCTCCCTCCCCGGGGGATCCGATGGTGGCCCTGAGGATGGTTTAGAAAGGCGCTTGTGTAATAGCAAACACCGAGACGAAGGCTCTGTCAGTGTGCGTTCCCGCATCTGAATTTTAGCGTGTGTCTGCATGAACTCTCCCACCCACCCGAGGTGGGGCACTGTGCCGACTGGTGCGGGCCTCAGCTGGAGAAGTCGTGACGGTCAGGAGGACGGACGTGCTCTGCAGGGAGGGCCCAGCCCTCGCGGCAGAGGGGTGGAGGGGATGCTGTGGAGGGTCCCCAGGAGCGCTTTCTTTCTGGGGCCTTACGTTGTTTTCAGGGGTCTCGGGGGGGCGATTTCCTTCTGCATTTCAGAAGGATCAGTGGAGTAATACTTCTGCCTTTATGTTTTTATGTGTAGCAGGTATTACTTGGTACTTTTTAAAGATGATCATACAGCCATCCCTGACAGATGCACGCTTTGCTCGGTGCTAGAATTCGGCACTTTTTGTCTGAGGACCAAGACCCGTCACACCCTCAGGGAAGTTATGTTATTAAATGTGCTCTGACATTCAGGGACATGTAGGCATGTTTTTGCCAACTCAGCATCGCTGCTTCGGCCTTGGATCGCTGTGACCCATTAACCAACGCCCCAGAGTTACAGGACTGGGTTTCCAACAGCCTCAAAAAGCCCAAGATGACGACGTGCGGTGGCTTTTGCTGGGCTGGTGTAGTCTCCATCTTTCACCTTATTCCTGCCTTTGCCTAGAACAATCTAACTGTAGCAAACAGTGGATTGCGAGACCAAGGTTTGGGTTTTTTTCTATTGCATGTTCTTTTTTCCCACTAATCTTCATCTCCACCTGGATGCACACTACCAGCCTTCATTCTTTCACAGGGTGCAGGCTGACGCTTATTGCACTGCTGTTCGTGTAAGAGTAAATATGAAGCTGTGAAAGTTTCTGAGATTTTGGTAGGAGTATTTGTAAACACCTTTAAACACTGTAAGCTTTTGAAAGAAAATCAAGAAACGTCTCTGTAATATTATTTTGACTCTGCAAGAGGCCGAATTAAAAAACCCTTAAGGATGGAGTTCCCGAGCGCCTGACGCTGATCTGACTCGCCTAATCCCTTTCAGAAGTGTTCGACCTCCGAGAAGGCGGCCCGGCCGCCTTTCCCAACCTCCCCCTTGGCACACGGGAGCGCTCCGGCGGCCGCGGCCTCCCCC